GAGATTTTGGTTTGAAAAATCTGATAGCCTCTGAGTGGTTGACCTTATTAATTGAGCGCTGAGTGATATGCGATGGGTCTCGTAAGCAGGAGGCACCTCGGAATACCCGGGATTGAGAAGGACTNACCGATTCACACCATTCAGTTGGAACCTCTTCCCTCTCTCACACTGAGCCCAGAAGTTTTGTTAACTCCAAAACCAAGGCTGAGCCTCCATTTTTAAAAACGGATGGGGACAGCCCGTCGGGGCCGGAAGCCTTATGCCGTTTGAGGTAACTTATTTCCCGGGTCACCTTCATGTCAGATGGAGGACTGATGTCAACTGGCAGTATTTGCACAGTTGGACTGAGTGGGGGGAAAGTCTTGTGTCGAAGGGGACCAGCTGAACTGTGCCTTAAAATTTTCTGCCCAATGTTCAAGACGACGTTCCTGAATTTGAATCAGTGTGCCGGCAGACTCCTTAATTACCTCACTTACGTCTGCTTTCCTTGGTCCTGTACTCCTAATTAAACGAAAAAGATTGCGACTATTACCAATAGCCGCAGCCTTGTCCATCTCTCTACACTTCCCTACCCACCACTTCTCGCGGTCATTCCTCAGACCCTTGATGAGCTGGCGTTTAAGAGATGAAAAAGAGTGGAGGCACGAGAGTTACAGTTTGAGTGAGTCGTGTACATGTGTCGCCAAACCTTTTGGTTCATGATATTTGTGGCTTTTTTCTGGTAGAAAGTCGGTTAAACCTCTCCAGGGAGAATCTCCTGTCCGTTGATGGTTACAGTCCGGTGATCCAAAAGTTAAAGTCAGCTCTCAATAGCACAGTCCCACCTGTTCAACTCCAATTTACTGCCTCTACTCGTGGAATCAATTTTGGACAAACGTGTACATGGTTGGCAGTCCAGTTTTGTCTCACACACTGTATACCAGTTCACCTGCAGTTGCGGTGACACATACATAGGCAGAACCGACCGTCAATTATGACAGCGGACGGCCGAACACATTCCAAAGTGGTTGGTGAATTCGACGACACAACCCACGCTCCGTAATCAGGCGGTCACACGTAACTCGGGGTCATCAATTGCAAAACACTTCATGACAACCAAACACAATTGATCCAGCTTCCTAATGCGATGGAATTGTTTGTGAAAACCAACAAAGAGCACTGGACAGCTGTTTTGTCCGGTTTGGGACGCGTCAGCAGTGCGTACTTTTTGTGTCCCTGTCAGGACTTGAACCGTGATCAGTCGGGTCGGGACTTCGAACCCTTACCCCTGAGCTACACGGCCGACGGACATCACCTTGTGCGAATGACTTACTTAATTTTACAGTATCAAGCTTGGATTTAAAAAAGATCCCGCTTCCTCTTTAAAACCGTTGTTACGTAATTGTAATGCAAAACTGTTGGCAATAAGTGAGGCGTTGCTAATCAGATTACATAATCCCGTTCTGTGTGCCCAAAAGTTGTTGATCAAATCAGTTCACTTGCCGTGGAGTTGAGCAATTTTTTAATTCTAATAGCCCCTGATTAACTGTAAATGTTCGTTCACTAGGATTTACAAATCCAATGTGCTATAAATGTGCTTGTTTGTTATACGTCAGCGATTGAGAAGATTAAACGGAATATTAACACCTTGCGACATATGTCCTATTTCGGTCTTGATATGATTATTTGAAAGCTCGAAGATTATCAGCAATAAGCTGAATCAGTATCAGGATAAAGTCAGCATAAGTGGTCATCCTAACAATGTATGATACTAAGACTTCTTCCCCAGAAGATAGTTTGTGTAGACTGTATGAGTACAGTGAAAGGTAAATAGATGATAGGAATTTTAAAAAAAATTGTGACGCTTACTGGCTTCGGGATAAAGGATCTCATATTGAGTTCCACAGATACGACAGGAGACCGGAACGGAAGTACTTTGACCGGCGTGTTGTTCATCAATCCACCGCTGCAAACAATGATGATGCACCCATTTAAGCGCACCTCGACATCGACAAGGATGACACCACGGATCGTTCTGTTTGTCACTTAATCCGGATTCTAGACAGACCCAACAAACACGATCGGAAAGTTCATCTGTTGTGGGAGACGATGAAGAATCCATAGTTCTTCCATAACCGTGTTTTTATCGTGGATAATTAAGAAAAACCTAAAAAGGAGGAAGAAAACTAATTTTTGGGGCAGTGCAGTACAAGCGTTTACTACCATCAAATTTAAGTATCATGTTCATGAGAATGAGTGTGGTTTGTAGCAAAACAGGAAACCAATGTTCTTAAAACTACTAAAAATGTAGATGGTGGGGGGGCGGGATTCATAACTGATCAAGCCCGGATGGTTCTAGTTAGATCTTTAAAGAAGTGAATAAAAACGGGAAGTAGCGAGGTATTCCGCAATTTGGATGTCTCGGTTTTGGAGGCTAACCTTCAACAAGACGAGAAATAATATTATTATTCTGCGTGTCGAAGCACCACAAATCTAGGCCGAGTTTCAACTCACATGAACATTTCAAAATCATACAAAGCTTCCACGCATTCGTTCGAATTATACCAAGGCCCCAGGTTGTCCTGGTAATCGAGAAAATTGGATTCAATCAATCTTATTTACTTACTCTACTACGACTGGCTCCTTGTGAAGGATAAGCCGGCTCCATGATAATCATCATGAAAATAATTGGCAGTTTGGTACGAGAAACGTCCCCCGCGTCACTCGGCGTTTTTATTTTGAGGTCGCACAACTATGTGGAAACTGAAAGGCAACAGGAAGGAATCCCTCGCCTCGGAAGTGAGGAGGTCAATGACTTAAGTTTTAAAGGGTCAGTCATATCAACCTTTGTCATGACACCGTCAATGGCTTTATGTGGTTTTTAAATAGGAGCCAGGTGACCGGCCTGAAACCCACCACACCCTGGTAGTACCGCCGCTGTTTTTTCGCGATTGCGATGATATGGTGCAGAAGTATGAAAGAGGCTAACCTCCGCATTGTCTTCCGTTGGTGTAGCTCGTCTTCCAGGCTGGGGCCCAAGGGACGAGGATTGCCGATGGTTGGAGACCCTGAGAGATGTGGCTCAGAATAGATGTCAGTGGCGCGATTGCTGTGAGGTTTGTTTATTGAAACCCTACTCCCCATATCAGACAAAAAATTTCAAGTGTAGAGTGAAGCCATAAAAATCACTTATTTATTGATTTCCTCGCCCTGTTCTCTTTTTTCCCCATTTTTATTTCATCTTTCGGTCCCCCTTCTCAAACTCATTATCATTGCTTTTATGTTGGCACCTTGCTTGTTCTCAAGCAGGGAATATATATATATATATATACATAGAGAGAGAGAGCTCCGCAGACAGATGAACGATAATCGCGACTGTCTTGGTTGGTAAGTGGGGTTGTGGAATAAGATGTCAGATAAAATGGATCGATAAACGTCGTTGCATTGACACGCCGGTGCGAATGAGTGAAGGATAATCACATTTAACCATATTACAGTACTGATGAAATTAGACAGGTTATTCGCCAGAGATCATCGTACGACCTGGGTCGAATGTGCATCTTGCTGTTTGAGCGATGCATTCTTACTCCATGAATTACATCACAGAATCACGTGTTGAATTTAGACCCACACTACGGTAATGAGTCATGAAGGCAGCATCGATGTTGACCAACGCTGGCCATAACGAATGTACCTATCGCCTTCAGTATATTCTGGCAACAACAAAAGCGAACGAAAGAATGGGCATCTACAGACCCTGACGATACCCATTTTTTACCAGAAAATCAGGAACAGATGGCAGGGCGAACAATCAATTTCAAGGAAATCAATGTACTAAGTATACTCTAGCAAATATTTCACCTGTTTTCGATTACGTAATTTCCTTCGAATGTGATTTCACCAACGAATTCAGCTTTAGAGGGCCAGGCGATCGGTTCGTGATCGACTTAGATTCCACACGATCTGAACAGTGTTCCTGTCATTTTCGAAACTCCCTTGATGTACGGTAGGGTTGTTCTTGTCCCTGAGTCTCCGTCTGCTTTTTTCACATCTTTGAGTCACAGTTCTTTTGATCAAGTTACGGGTGCAGTCGTTGAAACCAAGTACCCTGAAAATATGCAGTTGTTCTTTCGTTTTGAGTGTGTCAGCGCTGCAATGTGTTTGGATTATTTCGAAAAGGGTCCTGACAGCATCTTTTGTGACTACGTGGATGACTATTTTCAACGTTTAGGATTGGGTTTGCATGCGTTATTTTGCGGTAGACTATTTGCAAGCTTCCTGATGACCTTCCGGTGATCAATGTGAATAAACTGCCTGTAGTTATCTTTCTCTGCCTCTATTTTGAATTTAATATTAATTTATGTGCCATTTATGATGTCAAATAAAGTCAACCATATGCTTTATACACTCCGAGAGGTGAATATTCAACATCTACACAGTCAAAGTAAAACCAACAAGC